GGCGACCCGCGACCATGGAGATATAAACAGCTTTTTATAAGGTAAAAATAATAAAACAAGGTCTTTGTCTGCAATGATTAGACATGCTTTTTTTTTTTTTATTATTGTCATTAGTGATTATCTCAATTTTGGCTAAAAGAATTGACAAAATCCTACACACTGTTCCTTTAAGAGCGACCAACTGTCCACATCTTGTTTTCATCTCCAGCTAACAAGAAAGAACTGTTTTTCAGACTCCGATCTGGGTAAAAAAAATTAAAAATAAAAATAAAAAATACGGTTGTTTCACTATGTGTGTGCGCACGTGTGTGTGTACCGTTATTGACCATTTCCCCGGTACACACAGCCTGGTGAGGTTAGGGTTTGGGTCAGTGCGACCTGACATTTTTTTAGTCACACTATTAGGAAATCAAGTCACATTTGCGACCAAATTGGTCGCACTCTAGAACCCTGTGCAATGCTGTGCACGTTTGTTGAAAAATTAAGCACAAGATACTTTAAATACTAAACTATAACTGCAAGCAATCATGACAAACATCTAACAAGCCAATTATTTTTTAATATACATTTCTCCTTTGTCATACCTCACTGGTGAGCTGATTGTGAATGCTCTTGACGTACGTCTCTGTCCGATCGTCTCTCAGCTCCACTCGAAGGGGTCGGTCCAGTCGTACCCCGATAGGCCCAGCCACCTTGTTAAAGGTGGAAACCAGCTCTTCTGCCTGGTCTGCACAACGTCGAGGGTAGAAGATGGCCCAAATATTTAAAGGGATCTAAGAGTAAAATTAGTTTTTTTATGAGTAAGTCTGACATTACCAATGTCAAGGCAGAATAAGTTAAGCGATAAAAAGACAAAAACATTGGTGAAAAATCTTGCTCAACTTTGCTGCAGAAAGCTTATGCTTTGAACTCAAGGTATCTTAAATCAGCACAAGACTCACAGAGCTGATTGATGGATCCCTCACAATCTCTCTGGACCAGGATACATCAGGCCCGGTTGTAAAGGAAGATGTCTGAAGACAGACTGTCTCCAAAGGCAGTGTTCTTCCTTTTATCTGCAACACAGAAAACAGACAACCTCAAATGCAACTCTGTCATGACTTCTATATTTTCTGCTGCATGTTCTATGAATAGCCATAGAGCAATCGCTTAGACATGGCTAATTTAGCATCTTTCAAACATACACAGGAATTCCAAATGAACCACATGTACACAACTTCAGAGCCATGTGCACCTTTCTTTTCCAATGGAGTGTAACAGGGTTTACCCTAGTGTTCTTTTTTTAAAGTCAGCTTCAGGTGTTTGTTTATACCATTAGGTAATGACAACAAATTGTTGTTGCTGTCTTGTGCTAAACTTGATTATATTTAGAACCATACTGTGAGGTAGCTGTGCTGTGATAAATATAATTCAATAAATATGAAAAATAAATTGTATTTAAGTAGACATATCCTGCTCGTAAATCATTCATTTTAACATTTTAATCACTCACTTGGGGTCTTTATAAAGAGGAACTACAATGATTGGTCTGAATTCCTCCTTATTTTAACTTCACAAGTCTCCCTTTCATGCCTTTTCTGACATGTGTGTCACAGCAGCTGGTTTTGATGCTGTTCTTTTAAAAGGTGTTTCAGGCCCGGCCCCTTCTGCTTCCAGACCAGTTCACTCTGGTTTGGTGTGTGCACAAGCTGCTGCTTGTGCACACACAGCCTGTTTGAGTCTCTCGGTTTGACTTGTCATTTCTGCTGCTTTACTTTCTTAAAATTAAACATTAAAACAAAAAGATGTAAATTTGTATCCTTAAAATTGTAGTGCAGAAACATTTAATTTACAACTCAATTAAAAAGATGTCAACAGCAAAAGACTTGTCCATCCAATCTTACATGTTGGAGCCAGAGTCTGACCCAGAACCAGAGGAGAATTAAGACAAGGAAATTGTAGTTTTTAAGTCCAGATCTTATTTGGCAGTTCTGTCGCAGATAACGTGACATAACAGTTCAGAAAACATTGTATAAATTATACATAAAACTGAAAGAGTTGAAAAACATGACCCAAACAGAATATAAAGATATCTATGCAGTACCAGAAGAACTAAGTTAAACTTTTCTGCATTCCCAGAGACTCCAAGTACATAACAAAACGCATTTAACACCTAAAAAAGTGTAATTTGCACATGTCCATTTTAAATGACTATATCTTGAGCTGAAATCCTGTAAACATAATCATTTTAGGGAAGAAACCAGTAAGTCTGATAAAATATATAATAAAAAGAAATTGATTCAAACTGTGCCAAGGACTTTTGCGCTTATTCTCTCTCCGTGTAGAAAGAATCTCAGTCAAAATATTGTTACTGCTTTATTCCCTGAGCCTAAATACGCAACGAGTGCTTCTCTTGCAAAGTCTGATGACAAAGAAGAGAACAAGGAAGTTCCTCCTGAAACAGTCAAGATGGCTAACTGAGAACACTCATACATAGTGCAATATAATTATTAAATAAACTCTTTTGAGAGTTTTCTTTTGCCAAATATTTTAGCAGACAACCAGATTTTGTCAAGAGCTTGTCTGCTGGACAACCTGGCAAATTCCATTATGTCTACCCCTGCAGACATGTCCGACTGCACATGTGATCAAACTCTTGCTGAGAGAATGTGTACAGAGGAATCAGCTGCTGCTTGTGCACACACAGCCTGTTTGAGTCTCTTGGTCTGACTCGTCATTTCTGCTGCTTTACTTTCTTAAAATTAAACATTAAAACAAAAAGATGCATATTTGTATCCTTAAAATTGTAGCAAATGTGTGTTTTCCATTCAAAAATGCTTATAATGTTCTGTTGATTCAGTTTCAAATGTAGAAGTTTCTTTACTGCAAAAACTACCTTAAAAATAAAAACTGCACGATTGGTAAAACACGCAAACTGCACAAAATTGACAGCTTAGATGCAAAAAAATTATTCTCTGAGGTGCTTCTAAGCGGGTTGAACAGAGTACAGTACGCTTGCGAATTTGATTTCAACAGACTGATGCTCGTGGATTAGGCCCTGGATTATTTGACAGAGTAAAGGCGTTACTTGTGCAAACTTATCCAGCAAACTTCCTCCTGGAAAGAGATGTTTTTTTTGGAATCAGAGTGCAAGATACAACGACATGGCGAAATAAGTGATAAAACCACTTTGTCCATTTTGGGAAAGGCAGAACTTGCAAACACTTCCTGGAGAGAGGGGTAAATATGAGTGCTGTACAAATAGTCCTAAAATCAGCAGACATCCCATGTGTTTTCGATCAAACTGGCTGCCCACGATTACTCAAGCACTTATAAAACAGAACTGCAACAAAATCAATAAAATGCATAAAATAATAAATAAGCCACAACGGCTGTAAAAAAAAGTTTTAGCTGAAGCTGCTGTGAATGTTCAGCCCACAATCACATCCACAGAATGAGGTACACACTGAGAGGGAAACACACACATACACCTGAGCAGAACTGAATAGAGAGAGGGGGCTAAAGTTATCAACTGTTTTGCTTTGCTGTAGGCATGGGACGATATGAAATGACGGTTTGATAACCTTGGGCAAAAATATCACGGTTTCGCGGTATGATGGTATTATGATTGCAGCTCTAATAATTTTGTTTTGAAATTTGTATTGAAAAACAAAAACAGAAAATAACTTTTCTATTATCATATTCAACTTTAATTATCTTTGGAAGCTGTTTTTAGATCTCAGAGGTGTTATGCTGACATTTTATTTACCTGTGTGCATCTGTTCTTTGATTTTTAATATCTAATGCAATTAGATTATCCTGATAAAGTTTACATCTAGTAAAATATCTGCTTTTCTATTGCTTTATTATTTAAGACAAACCATTGTATACTGCACGACAAGTCTTTATTGAAGTAATGTATCACGTTGGGAGTTTTTATTGTGCTTTAAATTTCAAAAAGGTTTTTGATGTAAAGATTATATAATTATATGCACACAGAAACAAGAAATCACAACTATGAATGCGTGTTTATGAAACTCACGTTCAGCTAACGAGCTACTTGGCTAAAGGAGGTATTCAATTTTATCGCCTTTCACTTAAAACTTATCAAATACACAATCCAACAACTCAGTTTTGCAGACAAGCTGTGATCAGCGCATTAAAACCACAGCAACACGGTGATATGTTTCACAATCTGATGCTAAAGTTGGCTTGTTCATTTCAAGAAAGCATAAACTTTACCTGGAGCTGCGATCATGTTAGATGTGTTATCTCCATGGTCCACATTGCCGTCACCTTCACGGCATCCTAAGTATTTTCATATAGCTGGATTTATTATTTTACACAGGGAAAAGTTTGGGGAACTCCGTTCTTCAGCCACCACACAACCCCTGCAGAGCTGCGAGTGCCGACAGGCAGTCTGCTGCAGGAGTGCGCAGGGGGAGGGGTCGCGGGGTCTGCTGCGGTGTTCTGACGATCTGTGCTACCTCGTCAGATTTTGCTACCATAGTGCGGTTTGATAGCTAGGTCTGCTGTTGGTGCTACCAATCAAAATCTGCTGCTGTCATGTTTACAAAAATATCATCATCGGATAAAATTCTTTGAGTGATGGTGTTACTGAAGTGTAAATTATATGTCCACAAGCCATGGATCACAAACTTATAAGTGACCGTAAACAATGAGACAAATTTCTGGTTCACAGTATGGTGACACTATTTCAAACAGCAAACGAGCCATTTATGTTAATATTTTTGAGTAACATAGCAGCTTAATTAAATAAAACTTAACGTAATAAAAAGAAGCTTCTGCTGAGTAAGAAACGTATGACGTAACATTGGTCTGCGCATGCGCATTTGCCACAAGGTAGGACGAATTGATGGGTAGCACAGATTGTCGGAACACTGGCACAGACCAGAGGAAAAATTAACAAAAACGCATATACCGTAGGCATGGTATGACAGAAAATTTTAGTGGTTTTGAAACAGTGACTTTTCATATCACGGTACACCTTGAAACCGGTATTCAGCCCATGCCTACTTTGCTGTTATTAAAATCAAGACAAAAACTCAAATTCTATTTCTTGACACCCCTGCCCCTCAAGGCCAAACACCTGGAAGAAATACTGGGTTTAACAATGGAAATTTTAAAGTAATGGGAAAAAAAATACTAATTTGAATAAAATAATTAACAATAAACACGTTTTTTTAAAACCTGGGAAAGCTTTAAAACATATTTCTAAGAAGGAGATTGTTTTAATTGGAAAATAACTCTGCCTAGTCATTTATTGTTAACAAAATGTGTGTATAAAGAGCCAATATCACAGCAGGCTTGATCTCAAAAACACTGCAGATGCACTGCATATTCTAATAATTTACATTTCCTGGATCAGTAAGTTTAGATAATAATGAAGCAAAATTTACAACTCTTTACAAAGACAGCGAGATAGATAAAGATCGAGAAGTTAATCAAAAGTACTTTATCTTCTAATGAGCAAATAAAGACAACCATTTATGTAAATTGTAGGTCAGAAGAAATTTTTTTTTAAAGCAACACTACATTCTCTCAACCCATCCCAGTGGTTTCTGGACTGGGGAGTTTCTCAATCAAATGGGGTACCAATAAAAAGAGGGGAAGCACAAGATTTTCACTGCAGAGCTGACATGTCTTTATGAAACAACACACTCAATGAGTCATCAAAAGTCTGGGTCAAGACAAACTTCATAAAATGTCACTTGTGGACAGTTACATTTAAATGTGTTTTTTTTTTTATTTAAATGACAGAACTTCAAACAATTTATAGAATTGTGTGTAAACAATAAAATACACACAGTTCTTGAAGTAAAATATTCTCACCATCAGGATTTCTGAGCCGATCTCCAGTCCCCATTGGTTGAGCTCCTTCAAGCTCGCAGAACTGCCAGAGATGTTCTTCAGAAGCTGCTTTATTGAGAAAGTGTGCTGTTCACTGCTAACGTTGATGTGCATAGTCAAGTCCTGGGTAATGTAGAAAGACAAATGTTTTATACAAGTTTTACTATCTGAATGTTTTCTTCAAAATGGTTGTGTTTTTTCAGTATCAGTTTGTTTCCTCTTGAGAACTGCACTGCTGTTTTTACCATTGTGTTAAAAATGCATCAAGTTATTGTTTCTGAACACAAAACACTTTATATCAGTAACTGAAAGTTGTTGATTAAAAAACAAAAACAGAATGAATCTTTAAAAAAAAAGAAAAAAAAAAAGGTTTCATATTCTATGAACAAACAGCTTATGTTCATTCTACGCAAAAAGACCACAGTCTGTAATCCACCACTGAAATTACATACTTTCATCGCTCTGAAGTCCTTCCTCATCTTATCTGGGATTCCTGTCATGAAGGAAAGCTCTGGCACCAAAAGGATCTCTCCARTGCTGATTTGCTGCAAGAATAAAACAAAACATGTTTTACAATGAAAATGGTCACTAAAAGAAGTAATTCAAGTTTGTTGATGCATTTAGATAAAGTTGAAATTTTTTTATCATGCACTTATTATCAATTATTTCTTAATGTGATTGATAATGATGTCAAATCCTGTGTCAGGAGGTCGTTGCAAAGACTTTGTTGTTGCAGGTAAGAGACATTGCAGAGGAAAATTATTTCTACACATAAAAATGCAGTTTTCTAATTTTTCTTCCAGATGTTTACTGTAGATCAAGTTCTTTCAAACATCTATTCTAAAAGGTCGGTGTTTAAGAAAACAAGCAAGTTCTGTAATACAAAAAATGTGGTAGAAAGCATAACTTCTTGTAGCCACAAGATGGTAGTAGTAGTCTGTGACAAAAATTAATGAATAACTGAGTGGTTTATTTATTACTGCATTCTTTGAAATATAACTATGTTTTAAGCTTTGCATTCTGTGCTGATATAACCAATGGTGACTAAAGACTTTACCCTCCCTCCTTGTTTAGACCGCTCATTAGGCTGATGCTTGAGTAATGGTTGGTTCATCTCCTTGATTGTGATCCCATAGTTTTTGCTGGGAACAAATACAAATACAATGAAATGAACAAACAAATACAAAGCAAAAAATGTAAACACAAATAAAACCTACACACCACTGAACTTTTTACTGCTAAGCATATTAACTGCTGTCATTGTTAATAACTTTCCATACTTGCCTATGCAGTTGAGTTCACAATATACAGTAATCTCACCTGTAGTACTCCAAAAAGGTTGTTTTAGTACCATCCATCAAAGTGAAAGTGTCTTTTGGTGACTTATTCCACTCAATGTCATCAATGCGGTATGTGCGGTTGTTGTAACGGGTGATGACAATACTGCCAACGAGTTCTTTGGTGCATCCGTCTTGGAAGTTTTCCTTGCTCTGTTGGTACAGAGTGTTCCTGAAGGACAATATGTAAGATCAGTTTTTTCCTTTTTTTAAACTGAATATCTTCACTCATTTTGTGTTTTTTTAAAAACACATACACACACACAAAAACAGAGCCAAACAAATTCAATGAAGTAACAACAAATCATCTTAAAAGTATATGTCCAAAAGAAAGGGTTATTATAGTAAAGAGTGGACAAAGTTCTTTCAAAGGACAATATGAAAATAAATTCTGAAAGCTGCTTTTTTTAAATGACTTCATGATAAAATTTGGTATTTATACACATCAGCTCTGAAAGGCTTATTAATGGTATTTTCTTTGTTTAAACATGCATGAGTTTCCACACAGAGGAAGCAGAACAAACAAAACCAAATGGGACTCGATCAGCGATATCTAGAAAGCTCATTTTGATGTCTGGTGAAAATCAGGTTTTTTTTAATGTAATAAACATTAAATACAGAAGATACATATAACTCCGTAAATAAAATGTGACAAGAATACCATAGTTGAAGGGGTGAAAGTAGTTTTAAATTCTTGCTAGCATTAGGTACCGGCAGTCAAAAAAATTTTTGAGGGGATTTTTAGTACTCTAAATGCATTTTTCTATTAAGTGTTTTACCAGAAAAGAGCTGAGAAAATGTCAAATCATTACGTCTAGTAGTTTGAGATTTTGGGGGGTATGTGTACCTTGTCAAAAACACTGGTTCGAATTCAAAAAGATGGGGTTTTTGAGAGCCGATTACTCAAAAATTAAATTAATTTGACACTTTTTTGTAATGACATTCTTTCAATATACTTGCATCATATTGCAAAACAAGAAAATGCACACTATAAACAGCTTACTTTTAAAATGAAGTTTCTTTAAAACATGTCATTTTGAAAAATAAAACAAATTTCAATATTGACCAAAAACAGCAAAGATGCCATTTTTGGGATACCATATAAAAAATATGTATGTTGAAACCAAGCCCCAAAAGCTATTTTCCCAAGCCTGCACTGTGGTCTTAACAAGCTAAATGTTTTGTAGGGGTCTGGGACTGTCAAAGATTTATTAGGCTGCAAAAATGCTTCCAAGGCTAATTTGACCAACGGCAAAAATTTTGAAAATAGAAAAAAATTGAGTACTTTTTGACCATTCCCCAAATTTTTATTTTTTATTGGATTCCAATAAAACTTCTTTACTACATGTAAAATAGGCTACTGAATAACAWAAAGGCATCAATTTTTGGCCAWCTTCAATATTTTCTTTGATATTRCTGGTAGAAAATAGGGATTTTTTATTTTTTTGGAAAAATATCTTATTTTAGAGAATATTTGACTTCTCAGAGTCTGTAGTTGGTAAATAAACCAAGTATTACAAAGATTTGTTACCTTTGAAATAGTTTATTTTGCTGCATTTCATCATGATTACAACATACAGAACCCTATGAAAGTAGTGATACATATCAAAAACAAAAATATATAATAATATATAATAATATAAAATATAACAAAAATAACACATTCTGCCTCTTATTTAACACAAACAATATTTTGACATCTCTGACTTGCCAAAATTTTAAACCAATTTTATTTTCACTTTCATAATTTTATTTTCAACTGCTTGTTGTTTTAACTGTCTTGAGTGTGCACAGAAATGGTTTTTACCAGCTTGTAGCCTAGATTCTTATGTTTCTGTAGACACCAAACATGTCTATGTTTAACTAAATGAACTTAGAGTAATTAAAGTAGAAACCAGGGGTTTGGGCTGACGAGATGAATAAAAATAAATAAATAAATAAAAACTCTGCTTCGAAACGGGACCAATTTCTCTAAGAATATACAATAAAACTTTACTTGACCTGGCATATAAATAGAAATCTAAACATTCACTAAACGCAGCTTCCAACAGGACTGTTCCACAACAAATGCCTCCATTTTGAATGGTAGGAGGGGCGAGTTTGGTTCGTGTGTTGATTTGCATGGCGCATCACGCAGGTTGATTTTTCAGGTTTGGTACCATTATAATATGAAAACTCACAAAATAATCTTTATTTTGATACCCATTTTGTGGGGTTTATTTTTTTATAAATCATTCGTTATTTGACGATCTTCTCGGAGTTTTTGATACTTTTATGATTTACGGCTGAATATCATACTGTATTAGTGCTGGCTCAATTGGTCATTTCCTCGCAATGCCTGACCCGATTTTCTTGGACAATGTCTCGGCGCAGTGCCGGGAGGGGGGTTCTAATTAGTACAAACAATGTGTTCCAGTCACACTTATGAAAAAAATTATGAAAACCATTGTGAAATTTAAAGTGTTTTATTTGCTTCAATATACATAAAATGGGTATCATTAGAAAGGAAAATAATTAAACTTTAACAAAGTAGTGTTTCTTTTGGAAAAAAATTATTCTGAAAAGGACTTTTAATGATGAGAAGTTGGGATATTTTCCATGATCAACATGTGTTCTCTCCTATTCCTGAGTGAAAAAAGCATCACTGCCGGTACCTACTAGTATAATGACAAAAAGCATCACTGGCTATTCCAGTGCAGGCAGCGTCTTATTTGTGTCTGTGCACCACCTGTGTAAAATGTTCCAGTCCATTAAATCAAATGCACCCTTAGCAACCACTGCATTCATTTTGGAAGTAGATGTGCTTACGCTCTCATGTAGTGCAAGTAAAATCTCCAGTCATAAATACAGAAGCAGTGTTTTTTTTACGCTGTTTGTTTTTGTAATTGAGCAAAATAACATGAAACACAACTACTCTCCCTTTGCTTTTAATTAGGATATTTTGTAATAAGCAGACCAGGGGGGCCTGGGAAGAAAGAGTGGCCCTGGGAGTTCCTGACAGACTGGCTCACTTTCAATTGCTGAGTTGAAGTTACTTAGGGTGTATTACCAATAGACAAAATTTTAACTTTCATTTTTTATTTTAAGTAATATATATATTTATATTTTTAACTCTTAGTCAAAGAAAAAATATATTTATAAGGTTCACCAATTTTTTAGGCATGTTGCCACCTCCCCTGGGGTCTCATTTATAAAGGATTGCGTGGAAACCATACTAAAAGTGAACGTACGGCCAAAAGGTGGAAATGGCATATGCCAAAAAATAAAAAAAATTCAGATTTATAAAAACATACGTACGCATGTTTCTGCACATCTTTCCTTTATAAATCACAGCCGCACGTCAGAGTTTGCGCACGAGGTCCCGCCTCAGGTTCTACCCTCTACACGCCCACACTCAACCATAAACAGTCAATGTAAAGTACCTCATGAATGTTAAGATGTATTTAAATCAGTCAGCTGATCAATGCCAACAAAAGTGATTGGTTCAGACACGCTCCGTCATGTGTCTGGAGGTTGACAGGTGCTGACTGACAGCTGCTCACATGAACAGATTGTCTGTAATTGACACAGATTTTCCTTCATTTTGCTTTAGAGTAATCTAATGATTTTTATAAAAATCTCAGCTTCAAATTAATTTTTTCACAGAGCCTGCAGGACGATAAAAACAATAAAAATTWAATTAAATAAGTCAGATAAAATTAGAAGCAAGTCCACCGCTCTTCTCCTCGTCCTCTCCCCCTCCTGCCTGCTCTGTTATCCGCGTCAGACACCCCCCCCCCACGCGTGACAAACACGGACTTTAAACGTGAAGGTTTATTACATTCACACTGGCGAGGTGGGCGCGCCCTGCACGTGTATCTAAAGCGTGACTTTTGCTGTCCTGCTGTTCTTGTCGTGGAGGGGTCTGTGGGTCAGTGAGTCAGGGAGGGGTCTGTGGGTCAGTGTCGTCTGAGGGGGAAGCAGATGAAGGGATTTGCGCACGGGAACTTTTATTTAAGATTTAAGGTTTTTTTTTATTTCAAAGATCCTCATGGCTCAGCAGCAGAAGCATAAATATTACTGTTAAGAAAGCTGATGATAAAGTTGAATAAAAATCTAAGTCTGATTAAGTGAAATTAAATATCTGACAGTGATCATGATGCAGTGTGGCTCTAATTCCTCACTTCACCATCTGTGTCGCAGTTTCCCGTCTCCAAAATGAGCGTACGCATGGGTCAGAGCTGGCGTGATGCACCACACACTTTCACGTCAAGTTTGGATTTTATAAATCACAACCTTGGCGTAAAAAGTGGCGTATGCAAGTTTCTGGGCTCAAATTGTGCGTACGCCAGTTTTATAAATCCGACCCCTGGTGATTGACAGTTCCACGAAGGAATAACAAGCTAGAGCCACAGCACCGAGCATCTCTCTGTTGGATGTGAGAAACCAACAGATTTAGTTTATGTATCAGTATAAGGGACAAGACATTTCTGATTTGTGACTGCTGCATTATTAACAAGCACCACAGAGCTGATTTAAAATACATTTTTTATAGAATAGGCTGCTGATCTCTGCAGCCGGTCGGCTTTGTAGCGTTTGTTCACGTGTTCAAGTCCACTTTGTGGCTATGCATCGAGTACATCAGCTGACTGGTGTGCAAGAGAGAAGAATATCCCTTTTAGACTTTATGCCAGTCTGCCCCTGGAGCAGACAGACATTAAAAGTAGCGGTGCAAATTTTGAGGGCTGGCCATTTACAAAAGCCTTGAGCTCTGAGGAGAAGCAAGGCGAGAGGATTGAGGCTCCTGGACAGCACACAGTTCAGAAACCAATTGGAATGAGATAAAACAAAAGCTATTTATAAACTGATTGTCATGTTTTTAGACTGCCTTTTGCTAGCGGTTCTATTCTGACATAAAATGCAGCTGTGACTGGTTCTGAATGACGACTTTACAGCAGACAGCTGCTCTCCCTTCATCCTGGTACTGGCACAGACCATACTTTCACCCCTGCCATGTAGTACGTAAAAATTACAAACTAAAAAAATAAAAATCCCCAACTACATGATGTAATTTTGCTGTGTAAACTTACATGACATCCAGCACAGAGTCATTCCGTAAAACTTTGTGAGTCACATCCACAGACATGTACAGACCTCCATCTGTGTGCTTGATGGCAGTGGAAAAGCCTGGCCACACCTGAAGTCTACAAAACAGAGGGAAGTTTATTAATTACTAGTAGGAGTGAAATTACATTAGCAGGAATATTTGTCAGGAATTAAATCTCATTACTAACCGATGCTTTTCAACAATGACTGCGCTTTCTGGATCAAAGTGGTTTCTGCCAACCAACTTCAGTCCGATGATTTTCATAACTCTTGAAAAACAAGAAGACTGCGTCACATCCCATCAATCTTACAGTATTAAACTATGTCAGTACAATGGGTAAAATGTTTTTGACAATATTAAATAGAGCTTGAAAGTAGTTTTGGATTTTTGTGAAAAATCCAGAAAAATCTTAAGGATCTATTGGTGTTAAAGCAACAAAACAGTAAAACCAAGAAATACCTCCTGAGTATGACATTGTAGAAAGGAATGCAAAGATCGGAATTAGGTGGCAAAATTTTTGTCATCTGGACTCTGATTTCTATTTCCTCATTATCCGTCCTTCTCACACTCTTCAGTAGGACATCCTGTTATCACAATGTTTGGAGAAAAATAAACATTTCTGAGCTTTGACTCGTGGCAATTCATGCATATATATATATATATATATATATATATATATATATGGGAACAATGAAAACAAAAATGTCCAAGTTCACTGTCTGCATTCAAGACATCTTTGGAAATATTTATCTTAGGATGTTTTTAAAACTCAAAATAAGCTGAAGATGCATGTCTTCAGCAAGTTTAGGACTGTCGTCTCATTTTAATTACCAACAAAATAACTACAAAACTCACATCTTTCAGTTTAACTGGCAGGTACAATATGGAGCCATCAAAAGCCACCACTTCCCCTGTAGTTGAACGGTGGTCTTTCATCATTCCAAAACGCATTGCCATTGACTCGACGTTTGGACTAAAAATAAATAACAGAAAAATTGCATTCTAATATACAGTAATTTTAAAAGCACATGAATGTTACAGTTCTCACTAGCAAATTTCATCTGAGTAATTCATGATATGACAAGATACAGATTTAAAACTATATTATTGTTTTTATTGGCTGCAAACTGAAGGTAAAGTAAATGGCGCTTACGTGAACTTAACATGATACTGGTACACAGCCTCATTCTTGCATTGAATTGGGATGTGGTTTGACCCAATTGTTATGGGAACTCCTTTATTTCCAGCTTTATTAAGTGGCGCTCTGCACAGGAAATACAAATGCACAAAAGCTCAGTTAACAACAATTTACATATTACGTTGTATAGGCTGTACTTTTCAGTAAATCATAAGCCTATCAAGGCTTGGCAGATGTATAAAGAAATATTTACTCAAAATTCCTGTAGATGTCTAGAAAATGTACAATTTGTTTTGTTTGACTGAAGCCTTGATAAATTATGAGTTTAATGGAGTTAAAGCGTTTCTTTGCAAAATTACATTGCAGGACATTGTTGTCAGTGTGTTCATGGTAAACTGATTAAACATACTCCAGATGAGGAGGGATAAAAGGCTGCAAAATGATAAATGACTGACATCTTTGGTTTCAGTAGACAAACTTGGTTGGTTAGAAGCACACTTACTGGATTGTCTCCATTTTCAGCTCCTCATTTTTTGGAGCAGGAGCTGAAAGCACTGAGGGATCTTCTGCCACACTCATTGAGGGCAATACTCCTTTAAATTATTTGTATTGCATCAGACAATGAAATACAGATTTTTTTTTAGAAAAAAAAAAACATTATGCAGAGATATACTTTTCAGAGACATTGCTTAGATTGTTTATCACCACAAGCTTTTATTTTATCTTACCTGCTGGGGTAGGCAAAGCATGTACAGCTGTTTGAGGCTCAGGTGTTGTAGTCTTGATCTGACCTGGAGGAAAAGGAGAAAGCAGAGCGCGCCCTCTTCCCATTCCAAGCTGTGGCATAGCTGCTCTTCCGAGCCCCACCATCATCTGGGGGAACAAACTGTGGGCACGGAAAGTGTAATAATCAACCAACTTTTTCACATTCTGTCAAAAAGCTAGCCATTACATTTTTAAACATGTAAAGTGTTCTGGAAGTTTTAATATCGTCATCAAGATTATTCCATAAACTTATTCCTTGAATTACAGTACAGTGTTCCTTTAAACTAGAGATCGGTAAATCTCTATTCCCCTAAGAATATATTGACACTCTTTAAACATAATTTAACTGAATATTTACAGGTAATAATATATTTTTATATTTACATTATATATATCTTGGAAATTACAATATCAAATGCTGTGTAAATGTAAATTACACAGCATTGTTCAAGTTCAAGGTAACATGCAGTGTGAACACAGCCAAATTGTTTGCATCTTTAGTTGGCTTACTCACAACACCACCAACACAAAAAAGTGAAGGCTGCTTCTCACACACTTGAATTCAAGAAATACTTTGATAAAATAAGAAGAGAACAACCCTAAAACATTTTATGCATTCAATCAAAGTAATACAGGCCATTTTTACACTGGTGCAGAGCCTGTTAATGAAAACACCAAACATGTCATTTCTCCGGTCTACCTGCTGCCTCTGCCCATCATGTCTCCACTTGGTCCAACGCCCTCTGGAGAGCTGGTGACACCAAGAGGGCCACCTTGCAGTTTCAGCTCTCCTAAATCTCCAACAGCTCCTCTTCCTGTAGATTAATGCAAAAATAGTATACACATTTTTTTCTGTACAGTACTAAACTTGCTTGTGTAAAGCTCTTATGGGGTTTCCCTTAGTGTATTACTGGGCTGTTTTTTTATTTATTTGCATAAATTAGATAGTTTTGAAGGGAGCTCAGAACAGGAAGAACTGAAAAAGTGAAATCTCATTATCTGAGATTCGTTTTGTGAATTAAATCAAATGAACATGTTTTGTAGCGCCACAGATGTGGAGGTTGTTCAAGGGCCCCATAATAGGTCCTCCTTAAATATAGTCAACAATGTCTTCCTATTAGGACAAAATTGCACATCATATTTTAAAATTTCCTGTCAACTTAACATTTTTATTAAAACCACAGCGGGCTGCCAAAGTGGTCCAACCACTGGGCTTAGCCATTTTCTGGGGGAAGCTGTTTTTAACACATGCACATCTTTATCGTGGGCAGAAGGAATGTCAGATATCTGTCACATGTGAAGATTAGTCACCTTTCTTTCAAAAATATTGACTTTGCAACAGTTTACATACTAGATAACAATTGATGTCTCAAGTATCAAAGAGATAAAATCTGTACTTTATTCTAACCAGATTATGAGGCTACTCTAACCAGACAGCCATCTTAAAACGTTACACAGCTAGGCTCAAGGATTTTTACAAATACAGGCAAAATGCATACTTTAGGAACATTTTATGTCCATGAATAAAACTGTGATAACCGTGACAGGATTTTAGAAAGTTAAGGGTTTAGATATATGATCATTTGTAACTAAAGGGACTACTTAGTGCAAGCATACTCTAAATTTTTGTTTTTATTTTACAAACTTTTAAATACAGACCCATTGGTTGAGTTCCTCTTCCACAAGCAGCCATAGGCTCAATGCCCATTCCCCTAAACATTGAGATCAGTGTTGATCCTTGGCCATGGGTTTGCATGCTAACCTGTAAAAGAAACCAAATCAAATTGATTTTTATATAGAGCAAAATAATAAAAATGCTAATTGTTTATGAAATTAGAAACGTTTCTGGTTCCCACTTTTTCTTCTGGCAAAGTTGAAACATCTCCTCCTGAGACAGGTGACGTCATTTTAAACGAAGGCTTGTGTTCATGTTGCTCTACCATTTCAGGTAGAACAGCACCTCTCGACACCCCCAGCCTTGGTTCAGCTGCTGGGAAGAGAATACTGGCTCGGCCGACTCCTACATCATCTGGCTGCACCAACAGCCCTCTACCTCGCGGAACCACAGATTCAGCAGGGGCTAAAGATACCGCTTGTCCTTGGAAGTTATCACCAGGAATAGGGAAACCTCTGGCTCGTCCTATACCAACCCCTTCTGTAGAGAGCAGCAGCCCTCTACTACGTCCTATGGTCAACCCGTCAGGCTGCAGTCCTCTTCCACGTCCTAGCCAGTGGACGCCCGTCATGTCACTAACATCTGGGGGCTTGCTTGGATCCATTTCTTCAGCCTATAATACATTCAAAACAGGTCAGCTGTATAAAAGGGGGACATTTGTAGCAAAACCCAGCAAAGTAAATAAACTGCCACCACCATTATATTGTACAGGACACAGTAAATATTTAAAGCTGTTTATGAGGGCTGGGTATTGTGGCCGTTTATGAATTAAATTATTAATCAATCACTATTCAGTTCAATCTGCTCTTTTAAATTAATAAAAAAAAAGAATTGCAAGTGACAGTGTTGTTGGATGTATTTATTTTTAAGAAATTAAGAAAAAAAATTACAAATAAGAAGTTAAGAGAATAAAAGTTGTAGGAGAAGCAATGGGCTAATATAAATGCAATAATATAAATATTTCTGCCCACTCCTTTTGAGTGTATGAAAATTGTATGGATGCAATGTTTCTGTTACATTCCTTTGGTTGTTATGCATGTTCAATAAAACTTGTTAAAAAATAAAAATAAGATAAAACTACATTTCATCACTGAGTATTTTATCAAGACGTTTCCTAAATTTTAAAAATAATAATACTTGTTGTTTTGTTCGGTTGTTTGGTCTGTTAGTTGGCTTACACCACATCTTAAAACCATTACTGGACCTTTTAATGTAAGAGAAAGCACGGGAGAGGGCGGGGAGTCTTAAAATTATAAACCAACGGAACATTATCGTGGTTTGCGGTCCTGTTAGCTAACATTATTAACCAATTGCGCCACTCCCCAACGGAGGTACACTTCGCTGCAGCATGCAGCTCGGGGCGGTGACAGACCTTTCCGTCAGTCATACCTTATATGGAAATGGGACTATTGCATTCCGGAAATGAAGGTTGCTCCTTAAAGACGCGGGAGAGAGCAAAGGAAGAAGAAAGGAAGAAGTTAGAGAGTTTCTTCTACTCACGTTGAAGTACTCAGAGCATTATTTATTAATTTCTTTTATCCACCTCCCCAAACACAGACCCTCAGGTTAACCTCACAGGTTTAATGCCTAAGGTTAACCTCACAGGTTTAATGCCTAAGGTTAGTTTGTTACTGTAATATCCAAAAACAACAAAGATTTAATAAAGATTGGAAAAAGAAAAAGGGACATACCACGTGACATAACACGTTGTGTAGCCATTTCCTTACTGTAATTTATTTTTATTAAACAACAAAGAACACACAAAATGATACAATGTACAAACAAAAAGGCGTATTTCAAACAAACAAACAAACTTGCATAAAAGAGAAAAAGGATGGGTGCAAATAAAGATAAGAAAGTCCTTACTGTAAAATTTGTATTGTTAATGTTGAAAGTGTTCAATAGAAAATAGTGTCACTAGCGCCCCCTTCATTTCCGGAATGCAATAGTCCCATTTCCATATAAGGTATGGGACTGACGGAAAGGTCTGTCACCGCCCCGAGCTGCATGCTGCAGCGAAGTGTACTTGCCCCAACGTGGTGTTCAGGCGTAACAAACACACGCAAAACTATATAATTTGATTGTTGCTGATTTATAAACAAGTGGATAAAACATGCCACGAAAATATCCAATACTATACTATTAATTATTTAATAAAACGCAACAAGGTGATTGCCTCAAAAATGTGCAAAACGCAGCTGCTAGCTTGGCTAATAATATCAGAGAAAAACGTGCCCCATCCCCTCTAATACATCGGGAAAAAAATACATGCAACATTTCAAGATGTTAACAAATAATAACATCATATATCTTTTTACAGTATGAAAACGTACCTGTGAGCTGGAAACTTCTCGAACTTCTCCGAACACGTGACAAACCCAAACTGGATTGAACAGGACGGAGAGAGTGATAAACTACCTGCTCTCCTGCATTTCTATTGGATAATCAAATCAAGATCTGCCAGTCATTGGTTAGCTGAACCTGTCAATCAAAGCTGAGGAGTTGAAACACGACTGGGAATGTGGTGGTGTCGCCCTCTTGTGGTTATTATGCAGCAACACTGGGAATTATTTTTTAATTGTACATAAAGACAATATAAATATTGGTGTACTATTAACCGAATTCACAGGTAATTAGTTGCTTTGTTTAAATATATTTAAATTATTTTCTGGGCTAAAATGTATAAAACAGAAAGCCAGTTGGACTACAACCTCTAACAGCCTGCTGAATTTGACCATTTAACCAGCTGCTGACAAGAATACAGTTCTGTGCCTTTTCTTTATGAGAAAAAAGAAACAATAATGATGAAGGTGAGCACATGTATACTAAATTATAAAACCCCTTTGTGGCTTGGTTTTCAGGTCACTGGTCAGACATTTTAGCAATTAATCTTGCACTTATTTGAACAACTCACAGCAGTGCTCCCAGAGGTTTTGAGGTGATGACTCGGTGCTTGCACCTGCTCCTGGCAAGAATAAATTAGTCACTGTGCCAGAGAGAGTAAACTCACCTCTGGCTCCTATATTTAGACAGTAACACCTTGGATGCTACAGTTAAACCGCAGAAAGTCAAAGTGGCCAAAGATGTAATGCAGTTTGTGTGGAAGCAGCTGCAGCATACTTCTAAAAATATCATAAATACTTGCCCTGTGAGCAAATCTCCCTTCAGGCCAAACCAGCAAAAGAGTCTAGCAAATCTGACAGCAAGGATAGTTTAATTGCTGATGGTGGAGATTCTGCAGCTCATGCTTGTTAGCGATCATTTTGAGCTCAAACAATGAGGGATTTCTCTCCTGAGCAAAGGCCTAAAAGTTGAACAATTCACTGATTCGAAGTGGGTGAACTTTTAAGAGCTTTTCATTGATTTAAGGGGAAAAAATATCTTAATCGGTACAAAGAAAACACAATATAGCTTATTGCTGAAAAGCCTTCACAGAGTCTCATTTCATACCTTCTCTACAACTCATTCCAGAGGGTGCATTTTCATTCCCATGCATACGTATGAACGATAAATTACATCTAAAATAAAACATAACTTACATAATAATGAGTTAAACATAACTCAAATCTACGCCCTGGAAAGACAATATTTGGGGCAAACCTTGTGGAATTAAAAGCCTGAATTCCTTGAAAGACTGCATATCACCTGCTTCCTTTCACGAGTTTTACACTACAATTGTAATGTGATTAAAAAATAAATACATTTAAAAACAAAAGTGTTATTTCGGTCTTTGTAACAAATGCTATGACTGATCTCACGCAACACTGTGAGATTTCAATGTGATAGTGAACGCGTATGTGTTGAGAATGATGCTCAGCTACTACCACACTGAATTCTAGCTCAATATCTGTGACTCCAAGTGTTCATGAGTTTTTGATGTACAGCCAGAGTTTGACTCAGTGGCCGATCTAGGATTTTTTCTGAGTAAAAGGCTACAATAATCATAGAAGGGCCAAATGTTTATTCAACATCTTTGGACACAATTCCCCGGTTTTGTTAAGGTGTACATATATTTAACCAGTCACACATGTTCAAATGCTTGTAACATAACATCATAAAAAAAAGCTTGCAGCAAATTATCCTTACCAATATTACACACATTTTTACTGCACATAGATAAAACACTCTCAAACACACAGCATATGAGAAAATACAGCTATCGTTTGTCAGCTGAAAGACTTTTTTGCAGGATTGTTCAAGCTTCCAAGCTTGATTCACACTGGACTTTCCAATTTGACTCATTAGCGCCACTAGTGTTTGGACACGGAACTGCATCCACCTCCATCACTCTCAGTCAAGGGACAGATGAGATGAGTGACCGGTAGGGTTGGGCAACATAAAAATGAACAATATTAATTGCAATATTTAGCCAAGAACAATTAAAATCACGATTAATAGTTTGAAACTTCACTTACATTAGCATCAGCTGCTTGCACTAATTTAAATTATTGCAAAGGGGCAAGTGTTAATCTCACAAAATACGATTTTGCCCAACCCTAGTGACAGGACAGGGGCACTTCAGGGAGCTAATCAGATTTCATCTGGGGCATATGCACCTGTAGTCCCACCACTGTTCGACTAAAATCTGTATGTGGTTCATGAGATATTTTGCTAACAGACAGACAGAGTTGATGCTGGCAGTTAACGAATACTAAAATGATGCACTGGGAATATTGCCCAGCTTCAACCGCTTGTTTGCAAGATATTTTGCTAACGCTACAAACAAACCAAACCACTCAAACACACTGTGAAGGACACATTGCAGTGAAACAAAGCAGTAAAAATGCTCCATGTCCAAGGCAGAATTTTCACTCCTCTGGCTTTAGCTGAACCTTTAAGCTTGATTATTTGACAGCAGACAAACTTTCTCCAGTGAACTCACAGCAGCCGTGGCAGTTCAGATAAGCTGGAAAAAAAAAAAAAAGTGGCGGCTTAGAAGGATTTTACTCACAACACAGATGAAGCCCAGAGCATGAAATCTGCTCTAATTCAACTCTTTTATAGACCCAATAAAAGTCTTTCTACAACTGTGTAAATAAAGTAAGAAATATACATTAAAAAATTAAATGTAATAAGATTCTGGAGTAAATCACTGTGACTGCATTTCTCTGCACGTTTTTTATTTTATTTTTATCTTTTTAAAGTGTGTTTTTTTCAGTGTTACTAGTGTTTTGATGCAGAATTTGACCTTATTACAGTTGTTTGATGCAGCTCTGAGTTTACGTAACCTTGTGCATGAAGTATTCACTGAATAAATATGCATAAAGAAGAAGTCTCATTGAACTATGTGAGTCTACAACAAGAAGCCTCCTGAGGTGACAAAATAATAAAAAACTATTAGAAATAAGAGTGCTCTTATTCTCTGGCCTGCCACTTCTGAAACAAATGTGTTTTTCTCTCCTCACTTACATTTTCTTGTCATGATGAAATTACCTGTTCGTTGCCAAGCCTCTGCTCTGTTTCTGATTGTGTCATTTTATTAGGGTCGCGTTCGTAAAGCCACAATTTGCTGCCAAGAAAACAAGATAAACTCGGTGTATTTCACTGCGAAGACGAGCAATCTGCACCTGTCTCTGCCTTCAGCCGTGTTCCACACATCTGACTCCATCTCACTGACTGGCAACATGATGCAAGTCAGGGTGGGATGGGCGCAGATTGTCTGCGTTTGGTTGCGTCACCTAAAAATACATGTGACACTTCAGTGAATTACCAGGTGAGATGATCAGACGCTGAGTTAAGCCTTTTTTTATTGCTGTCTGTTGACAAAATATCTCATACAGCGAAGGATGAATGCTTATGAAACTCCCAGAAAGTAAATATTGGCTATAAATCTACAACTGATTAACTTTTCGAGTCAACCGCATTTCAAAGTAAAATTTAAAGTGTCCGAAGCTGAGAGTCGTTCCCAATACAAACTGAACTCTAACAGTTCCACACCAACTCTGTTCGTCTTGTTAGCAAAATATCTCATGATTCACTGCACAACTTTTAACTCTATAAAACCTGACCCTTTAAAACATAGCCAGAAAATTCACATTTTTTAGAACTGACATGTATGTTAAGCCTTTAAACAAAATCCAAATTATTATTATTTTTGTCACATCACTTTGTTTATGATATATTTTTTGTATCAAATCTGATACACTGGGCTGTTTTGGTAACATTTTGCTCACAACAAAGTTAAATTAAATAACAAAAGACAGTTTTGTCCATAACTTTTAACAAGTTTAGAGCACTCAAGGAAGTTTACTTATTTGTGTTTTTTTTACAATGAATGTTTTACAGCCATTTATTTCACTTCGTGGTAAGCACAAAAACTGTTTCTGTCCTTGTTCGGGCACAGATGTTCCTTATACTTAATTTAAAAAATGGCATCTATTATCATATTGATGACATTTTCTTACTTTCTTTTTTTCTCTCTTCTTCCTCAATTCTCTTTGACATCTAACATGTTAATAGTCATAGACATAGTTAATAGTCAGTACAGCATAGAGATTATAATTTCAAAGGAAACCACTTTGAAAATAGCCAAAATGTGTTTTCAAATGGCTTTTCAGTAATTAATCAATCATCCAAAATAGTGTGTGGTTGTATTGTGGCAAGAATACTGTTGATTAAATTACTAAAATGTCACATGACAATTCAGGACTGGAGCACCTGCAGTATCAAGTTTGATACACAAATTTTTAACACGGTTTAACTGTACTATTAAAAAATATTTTTAAGCAATTGTGCAT